CGCGACCCCAAGCCCGCCTCTCACTTCATGGCGACGGCCGCGACTAGCAGCAACGACGACCCGCGGCATGCAGCGACAATGACCCGCCTCCCTCATAAATATTCAGTAGAGGTAGGGTTGTGACCGCCCGCGAGGGTGGGCTCCACCTTTATCGAAACGCCATTGGCTGAGGCCAACTGTCACTCCGCTAGGACACAGCCAGTCGGGAAGCTGCGCGTGCGCAGATGTGAGGGCGTGCTCTAGGAAGAGGCGATGCCGGAGGCGTAGCTGTAGATCGCCGAGAACGAAGAGAACCGAGAGAATCGATTCCATTCATTAGGATTCCGTCTTCATGAGTCTACCTAGATTCGTTTGCTTAGTGAACGGAATCTGGTGGAGAAAGACAGAAAAATAGGAAACCCCTTCGGGGCCCATAAGTTAGGACTGGCTTTGCTGTTCTAGGTGAACATGCATTAATAAAGAGTCTTAGGGACCAGCATTTGGCATAATGGCTATGTCGCTGGACTCCCATGTACCCAACCGCATTCCAATTTCTGGCCCGGTGACTTAAATTCACGCCGGGCACGTGTGCGTGCATGCCCAAGATCCCAGAGGAGAATGGGGGAGAAGGGATTGCGGTGTGTCTATCCCCCCTGGGGGGTGATTTCTCCCTTCCTCTCTCTATCTTTCTGGCAAGCACATGCGCCCTATAGCCAAAACCTCTCTAAATAAATAAATAAATAAATAAATAAATAAATCAATCAATCAATTTAAAATAAAAGGTCCTAGACTTCCATGGGATAAATGACTTATAAGTAGCTTCTTCTAATTGCTACATATGGTCTTCGAGATACAGTGCTAGTTATTTCAATCCAGCAGTGATGGAAGAGCAATGTGGATTGGTGGCCAAGACATGGGCAGGGTCTGGAAGCAGAATGACTGGGTTCAAACCTTGACTCCACTCTCTATTAACTGTATGACTTTGATTAAATTAAGTAATTTCTCTGGGGTTCCGCTTTCTCATCTGCAAAATAGGGACAATCAGGGTCAGCAGGTGGAGTGGTGGTTAAGGCACTGGATCCCATATGGCTAACTCTGGTTGTAATCCCGGACCCTGCAGCTTGAAAAACATGCCTGGTGCATGTGCACATGTGCCCAAAATCCCAAGAAGAGGAGAAGAGATTGCAAGGTGGCTATCTCCCCTGGGGGTCATTTCTCACTCTCTCTCTCCAACAAGTATACATACCCTATGGAAAAAAAAAAATAATAAAGAAAGAAAGAAGGAAGGACCAGCAAATGACATAATGGTTACGACATTGGACTACCATGTAGTCAACATGGTTTGAGTCCTAGACCCACCGGCTTGAAACTCACACCAGGCATGTGTGTATGTGTGCTCAAAACCCAGAGAGGAGAATAGAGGAAAACAGATTGTGGTATGGCTATTCACCCTGAGGGATGATTTCTCACTTTCTGTTTCTCTATCTCTCTCTATCTCTCCAGTGAGCACACGAGCCCTATAAGAAAAATCTCTCTTAAAAAAAAAAAAATCTGGGGAACCAGCAGTTAGCGTAATGGCTGTGTCGCTGGACTCCCACGTAGTC